CTCCTCTTGCTGGTGTTGGTGTTTGGAGGACTGTACACTCTCTACTTGTACCTGTACCGCTACAAAGGGAGTTACCACACCAACGAGCCCAAGAGCGTGGGGTCCCCGGGCAGCTCCCGGGCCCTGACGGAGTCCAGCCGCAGGCGGAGGAGTTTGGCCGAGATACAGGAGGAGCCAAGGAGCGAATAACGTCCGGGGGTGGAGTGAGTGTAGGACCACAGCTGCTAACCCTCTTCGAATTTTCTAGTCCATCATTGCCCATCTAAAAAATTTTAGTTCATCTTTGTGAATGTGTGTTCTCCCATGTTGTGTGTGTGGAACAAAAATAGGACTACAGTGTATAATGCACATACCTAACACTGTTTGAAATATATCTAATATATTATATATTTGATTCACTCATAACCCCACTTTAATAACATACCAGTTTAGCCCAGATTTTAAGGGTTGACTGTCTGAAGTGCCTGAAACATTTCAAGCTTTTCCTTTAACGGTTCGGTTCTTCTCATCCGTTGCTAACTGGACTGTCATAACAAGTCCAATTATTAGTAAGCATATATCTATAACATAGCCAATACTATAGAAAAATGGTTACAATTATGCTGTGCTACAAAGCTATTCATATTTGAACTTCGGACTACAGCCTTGAGTTATTCAGACGTACCCGAAAACCTATAGGATATCTCTTCTTTGTGATAACAATGAACCAATTGCTTATGTTTGTGGTTTTTATCAATCCTGTAGTGCTCAGTTGAAATGGTGCTCTTGTACATTTAGAATGAAAGACAGCTTTATAGCCATTAGCATTGCATTATGGGAAATTTTGCGTTTCCCACCTCAGTCACCGTGCAATAAATAGACGTATCTGTAGGAAGTCCTCGAATAAAGTCTAGTATGAATAAAGAGAGCTGAATAGGTTTTTAGGCTAATGCACTTGTTATAGGCTTGTATACTTGCATCAGTGCTGTTGGTCTTAAGTGTGGTTGACGTAGGTCTTTCGTCGTCCATGAAAAGGTTGGTTGCCCCTTTATTTCAGTTGGCGTTAGTCAACAGGCAGCATGATCCTTGTTTTCTGCTGAGATACGTAGTCAACGAGCTTTATATGCTAACTATACGAAAATCAATGTCACAGGGTATATCTCACCGCTGGGAGAGGTCTGATCAGATCCTTGTGAAAAGCAAACCACAGTAGGTTCACACTCATCTTAAAAGACTGTGATCTGAGCAATAGGATCTGTGATCTGAGCAATAGGATGTGTGACATGCAAAAAGTTCAATTTTTACCACCTTTGCAGTATTGAGGGGTTGATTTGTTCTTATAAGTTAAAAAAATTACTTTGCCACCCACTGGAGAATTTAATAATTTGGTTAGGCAGCCTGGATGTGTCATGGGTGTTTTATTGTGTTCCAAAATAGGTGGCAAATGGTAAATTACCTGTCGCTCTTGTGCCCCAGGGTTGGTTCCATCACTATTTTATATAGAGTCAGTCCGGTCCTTAGGGACCCACAGATGGTCCATCTCGGTCCGTCCAGCTCCTGGTAGGATGCAAAAATGTGGACTGTTTGGCAGGGAGCTCGGAGGGAGAGAAAACACGGACCGACTGTGTGTCCCTGAGGATCGGATTGGGAAACACTGACGTAGAGAATAAAGTCCCACTCATAGAAATTTGCAGCTCAGTGTTTATTAAAAGAAATACAAATATTCACCAGGGACACCATGAATCAAACTCAGTGATATATCTTCAGTTCAATAGAGCACGTGGAGTAGAGTTTTGTCATACTTTTCATGCAATTGCTGTTTTACTCCACAGGGAGAAACCAAACGATTTTGGGCTTATTTTTATTTTAATTAGTTTTATTTTATTACTGTAAAATCATGCATCAGCTGATCAACATGCAGCCGGTATCTGCTCATGTTGCACAAACGGCACAATGGCGGAGTCACCAGCAACATTACAGCGGAGCATTTGAGGTACCAGTGAGAGTTTTTGAGAACATACGTAGGAATTAGCAGTAGGAAATGTGTACTGGAGAATGTGGCGGTGAGGCTCATGAGAATTTTACTTACACAATAATGTTCTGAGGACAGAAGGAAACAGACTGGTTCAGAGAAGTAACCAATCAGATTGTAGAGGAGGTTGTTCCAAGCAACTAAAGGAGGCAGGACCTTTGATTGGTTGTTGGCACTTCCATTAGTTGCTAGGACCCACCTCCTCTACAGTCTGATTGGTTATCTCTTTGAACCAATCATTTTTCCTTCTGCCCTCAGAACATGTTTGTTTAAGTAAAACTGAACGGCAGTGAGCAATGCATAGGAGACATGCCCTGATAGTTCGCAGCAACCCAGTGGTATCTGGATTGGACAGACATTGATTATGATCTTTAAGGATTCCTTGTTCTGCGTTGCGTGATTTTGAAAACCACCCAGCATACAGATGTAGATGCATTCAGTGGTTCATTGTTTGCAGTAGCAAAGGGGATATAACAATGGCTGCCGTCTGACAGCAGAGACAGTGCTGAGGTTTAGACGATGTCAACACGCCATTCCCTTGGAGACCAGAAGCACTGGCTTTCTGCTAAGCACATTTGCAGAATTATTTTTCACAGCAAGCCCCAAGAATGTTAGAAGTGTTATGCAAAATGAGCAAAATATATGAAAAATAACACTGGTAATTAGCAGCATTTTAAGCTCTAATTAATTGTGAGCCCAGCTGGCAGTCAGAGAACCGTATCTTGGGGTCGCCAAGACTCAAAATCTATAATTGGATGGCACTTACATGCTAATTAGGTATTTGTAAGGGTTGTCAGAAAGAATAACTGAGAACAATTGAGAACTGAAAGAAGTAAATAATCAGAGTTTGCTGTAAGATATCAGCATTCAGACTGGAGTCATGTGTGAAAGCGAAGAGAAGACTGCAAAACACCAGATTGTCACACCTGCTCTCATATAAACAACATGAATCATTTATGTGACAGTTACGGTTGTTTCCTGACTTATTTAATAATTACAAAAAAACATTCCACATTGTTAGAAATGGTTGTGCATTTTACCCATTTTATGCATCCGAATTTTGAAAATGACTGTTAATCCTACATAGAAATATGTGATTAGATTGTGCATTGACTGTGGGAATGCTGTGTAAGCCGGAAACGGCTGGTCACACATCTGTGACATGCAGCTTCATATATATAAAAGAATTATTGGCATTTATTCACAGTTATTTGTTATCATTCAGGGTCTTTATTTGCAGTAGATTTCTTTTGAATTCCATCTTAGCTGATGCGTGTTATTTTTCTCTGTAAATTCAAACAAACCATTTTCATAATTATTTGTGATGGTCACTATAGCTTGCAGGTCCTGCTGTGATAAAGGATGTGGTCTTGTAGCTACGATTGCTGGCTCTCACCCTAAGAGAGGATAATATTTAACTGTATGAATATTTAAAAACAGTTTTGGATAAACCTGTAATAGCAACTCTTCTTGGGGAACCACAGTTTCAAACATTACTTTTGGTGTTCAGGTAGCTATGAATAAATTGCTTTAAAATTGTGTTCAATAGTCAAGCCTGCAACAATAATAATATTATTTATTTATTTTGTCACAGTCACTTAAGGATAACTAATGGGTTACTGCTTATTACTTCTCATTATTTAGGATCAACCCATTCTCGTCTCTTTTGATATTTCTTTATTATATGTTGATGTGGAAAATGTTGACACATTGTCTGCATTGAACAATGTGCTTTTATGTTACGGTGCTTGACTCCTACAGCATTCAAATTTTAAGCATAATCATGTCATCAGCACAAACCCCACGTCCCTTATACACTGTCAATGTATAAAGGCTGCTTCCTTATTCCCACCATCAGAGCAGTAAAAACAAATCACTGTTGGATTCAAAACGAAAGTTATTTTTGTATTATGTAAAAGGATATATATTTTGAAGATAACTTTAAGGGATATATTTTTGAGGATGTGCATGGAAAAACCGAAATCCAGGTTGTTGTCAATTTTATTCTCATTCTTAACAATGTCTCATTTTACCTAGGTAAAATGACTGTTACTTACTGGCAGAATTTAGAAACATTTTCTGGTTTGGAGAACTTGGCAAGATGTAAGGCTAAAGGCTAAATGAAAAACCACATGCTGCATCACGTTGAAATGATTGCGACTATCAGAGAAGGCGAGAAAGGCTACTAGCCATGGAGATGTACTGAAATCCTATCAGTACATGTTATGTACGCTGTCGCTCGCAGCTAATGGTCAATTAACACAATGCTGATGCATACAGTACAACAAACACGGGACAGGCTGCGGGGGCTGCTGAATAATCGCGTCACTCCCCTGTGCGCGTGTGATGGTGTCTGTCGCCGTCTGTACACTGCCTTCACCGAAAAGAACCCATATTTGGACTTAATAAGTGCATTTGCACGGATACAAAAAAAAAGCCTGCCTTCCTGTTTCCCCCAAGAGCAAGAGGTGGGTTGGAGTTGCTCCAGATCACTAGTAAATATCTAAGGGATCACTAGTACATATTAAAGGGATCACTAGTAAATATTAAAGGGATTGTTTGTTTCTGTGTACGGAGATGAAAGCCCAGTGCATCTCAAAGGTGTGGAGTGATGCTTTGGGTTTAATAAACTGGTGTTATAAATGTAACAATGATGTCTGTTTCTTTTTAAATATACTGCATCATCTACGGCAAAACACCAACAGACACTGTGTTGTATACAACAGGTAGAATTTGAATGATTAATTATAACTAAATTGATGCAAACATATTCATAACCTGAATGGGCTTAAATCCAAGTGTTTTTGGCTTGATTGCAAAGGCTTTTCTTTTGGATTTTTCTTTATTTTTTGTAAATTTGAATGCTAATCAATAAAAATCAATCAATCAATCAATCAATCAATTTTCATATCATTCTTTCCAAACTATTCCTTTACAGGCAACTGTAAACAACTAAAAAGTTTTAATAAGGACATGCGCACTCATGAGATAGTTTAAAAGTAATTTTAATGGATTTTAAAGCATTATAAATAATTTATGCAATGTTACTTTTTCTATAAGGGCACCTGCTGGAAAATTATCGGCTAAATTTTTGGGTAACGGGAAACTTGACCTAGAAAAACGGCAGAAGAAAAACAGAAGTGACCAGACCACCTGACCACAGTCAAAAACTCTACATGTAGCATGAAGGCTAAAATATCAATCAGACCAGCATGAAGATGAATGTCTTCCCCCATCCAATAAATCAATTCTCTGTTAATGTGTTTCCTCTGCTAACACCCTCCGTTTGACAACAAAAAACATCTAAAAAACAGTCCCATTCTGAATCTGTATTTAGTATACAAGTAAAAATCACGATTCCCCTCAATAACGGTGAATAACATTTCTCTAAAAGGTTTATACTGTGGTATAAAATTGTAACATTTATACGTTTAACAAAGTTTTTAAAAATGTATACCTTTATCATTTAAATGATGATATGGAATGTCATATCTTGGTGAGGGAAACTGACAAAATACATCAATCAGAAAAAATAGATTCATATCCAAACAATTTCTATTAAAATGTAACAAACACCAAAGTTTTACAAAAACTGAATGCAGAGCAACACTTTGGATAGTGAACTATTAAAATATCCTCAACTTGCTTAAATGAATACATACATTTCGACTTAAAGGTCATTTGTGTGATGCAGAGTTTGACATTAATAGTGAATAAAGCAAGAACACGAATAGATTCTGGGTATCAGGCGTGAGTTCAGTACGCTGGACGACTGGAGGCACTTCTCCAGAACACACAGGTACACGGTAAGGAACACGTGAGATTTCGCTTTGAGATTTCTTTCCTTGGACAGTAAACCTCTCTGTGGACGCTGTGTGTCCTCTTTATCTTTTTAATACAAAAGGTTTCTCTTAATTGAGGAAGACCGTTTTAAAAGGAGAACATTTATTACCCATAAGGAATCTGTGGGGTTTCACTGCTAGAAAATGACAATAAATTATTCCGATAATAAATGCATAAATGTTTTAGTCTCTTGTATATAACTGAACTTTTTCTAAAATCATATAAATGCTTAGATTCCTCTGCTGAAATGTAACATCTTTATCCTGTCAATCACCCCAATCACTAACCCTATTTTACATATACATAGATATATAGATATTACATGCTACTGGGATGTTGTACAGCCAATATGGCCGCTTGGTAAACGTTTTTTTTACAAACAGCAGAGAAATGAAACACAAACCCGTGTAACCCTGTGTGATGCAGAATGGTCTGCAGCCCTTTAAATGGTAGTTGTTGCTCAAGTTTTCTCTGTACATGTTTAGCGTCTGGTTACTTATGAAATGTTTATGTTTTATGCTTCTGCTTAACATTCTCCTCAAAGGAAATATCCTTTGATTGGCTAATCAATATTCATAATAATGAAAAAGTCACACGTACATGCAAACCTGATGGTTGCTGGTTTAAGTCCCATTAAAGGAGTAGAAGGGACATGTTACAGAATTTGTTGTTTTACAAGTGTGCCCAAATGAGACAACAAAAGACCAATTCCGGAAAAGAAAAGTAGCTGTAGTAGTTATTGAAGGTGACGCTAGCTTGGAAGATGCCAGCGACGTACATATACATTACATTGCTTATGTTCGTTCATGCCATATGCCATCCCAAGGGTCAAAACAAAACAGAACAGTTCTGACCTGATTCACAAACATTTGAATATCTGTTCTGATCTCCCTGCCTTGAAAAAGCTTTAAAAAATGCAATAATGAAGGGTAATGACTGCTGTTGTATGAATCGTATACTACATATTACTTACTAATAATATGTATTATTAATTAATATTGTGTTATGTGTGTATACACACACACACACACACACACACACATATAACAATATGAATGACTGCTTCCTCGCTGGATAAGATTTCCATGACGCACTAAATGTCGTAATGACCTCCAGGTGGGTGCGTGTAATATGTCGCAGTTTTCTGGGTGTCCGTCGTCCTTGACAAACCACGGCGTGCATGACATCATGGGAGAGAGTACTGGCATTTCAGTCACAAAGGGGACAAAGCGGAGCAGCGCAGGGCAGTCAAATGACATCAACCTCCCTCTCAATGCCAACATACTTCAGCGCGTCTGCCTGACTATACCTAAGCAGTGAAAATACAAAGAACACGAATCAGTCACCTGCCAACACTAGTCCCTAAACATAGACCAGTGAAGCAGTCTGCATCTTCACAATTGTATTTATAGGGCTGGAACATGCTTTATAGACCACAACCCATCAATGAACACGTGACAACTAATGGTTTTAGTTTCACTTTCACTTTCCAAAAGGGGTGTTAAGGGGTGCAGCAATGACGTAACTGTGAGGTCTCCAGCTCTGGTCCTGGAGAACACCAGGCCAGCATTTTGAGCTCTCTGGGCCCACCATGTTGGAAAGAGCAAAACAGAATTAAACTAGATTAAACTACCAGACTGGTGACCCCTATTGATTACTGCGCTGGGACTCTGAAGACAAACAGAAAACAGATCCTACCTGTAATCAAAGAAGAGCTCTTCGCCTTGCTGAATGGCCCTTTTGGCGAAGATGCCTATCCTATGGTCCCCGTTCACCATCACCACTGCAGCGGAACATGCGCATTAGTGAAGGGACCCAGGCTGATTCACGCAGCTTCAAGATTAGCTCCTTCACCCCCAGAGGACCTTACCTTTGGCGTAGCAGTTGGGGTTCACGGAGTGATTCGCGAAGCGGATTTTGTTACCCTTCCGCGTGGCGTCAACGACAAAGTCTGCAGAGAAGACCAGTTTATGTTCTATCAGGGTTACCATGGATCAGTGTTCATCATAAGCAGCAGGTGCTCTACTACAGTCTACTCAGATGTGGAAAAGATGATCTAGCTTCAAATGGCATCATTAACCATTAAATAATAGTAACAATGTAATTAATCTTTAACAGGCTACATAAAGCCTTTCTATTTAGCATAAACAGATGTTGACAGTTGACAAAAATAATAAAATTTTAATTCCCTTTTTCCTTTCAACAAAGGGCTTATTCTGAAGGTTTAGTTTGAGTTTAGTTTGAGTTAATATAGTACAGTTAGTATAGTGTAGTATCTGGTACCATTGTTCAGGTTGAAGAGGAAGCTGGACATGTATTTGTCGTAGATCCTGCCTCGTCGGTCCGCCTCGTCCTGGGAAATAAGCTGCAGAGACACAGGAGACACACAGACTGGCTCTTCTATTCCACTCCACATTTAACAAGTTCATGTAGTCCAAAGATCCAAAGCTGTTCAATGGGACTTGCCTCTCCACAGTACTCAGAGATGAACTCGTTCTTTTCCACAGCCTCCTTGATGAAGGTTCCCCATCCTGCCACGTCCGAAGGGGCCAACAGAAGATGCTGGCAATGGTCAAAGGGATTATGGATATATCAGCTTGTTTACGCAACGTCACAAAGAACACTCAATCTGAAGCACTTTTCTCAATCCCTAACAGGAACATTTACCACACTCACACATCTTCTCTCTTTATCCAGAAAAGAAACAGGCGTAAACTGATCTGTGATTAGTGAAAAGGACAATCAGTAGCTCCTTTTATCTCCTTCACCTGATCCCACCTTCTTCAAGCCCCTCTGGATGCTGCAGTTCTTGCAGGACACGGTCTTGCTGTCCCAGTGTTCCGAGGCCCCGCAGGTCATGCACAGGTCCGGGTCGCATTCCCGCACTGCCAGGTAACAGGGGCACTGCTTGGTGTTGCATTGGGTCTTGCATCGGCAGCCTGGAAAACGGTTTTGACCTGGAATGGAGCCCAGAAACGTAGCAGCTATAATCTACTTTCAGGAGAGCAGAATACATACGGGAACATCGGACCAGAACCGTTCAGGATTCTTTAACATGCTAAAAGTACAAAGCTGTTGCCTGAAATCAAACTTCTATGAGCCAGGTCAAGTCGTGCGCATTGGCCTGGACCGCATTTTTCAAAGACAGGTACATAACATCAGTTTGGACCTGGTACAAGAAAATCATCATGAGAGGATGCTTATACCTCACTGTTAAGCAGGGTCGGGGCCATTCCGGGATGCATTGATCAATTCCAGTCCAGATCAGGAAATGGAACTGGAGCTGGGATTGGAAAAAAAAAACTACGGGGAACAGAATTGGAGTTGAATTTGAATTTCAGTGAGATTTAAGTTCCAACTCCAGTTCCATTTCCTGATTTGGATTGGAATTGATGAATGCATTCCGGAATGGCCCCAACCCTACTGTTAAGACTGCTGGAAGGCAGAATATTAAAGAACACAAAACAGAGGAAAAAGTCTGGAGACTCAGTGACTTGAAAGAGGAGACTAAACCAAAAGGCAGAGCAAAAGGGCCCCCCTTCGCAGTCGTCCTCTTCCTCCACAAAACCTCTCCACGCCTCAGTTAAGCTTACAGGTAGAATCAATTTCTTACAGATGCATCAACATTTATCAGCGTCCAAGGACACTGGCAATAGCTGTATATGTCTACACCGTTATACAGATTCCATGGTCCTCAGGGCTCATTCTTCAAACTCCTCGAGAATCGTCCCAAAAATCATCTACCAATTGTTTGCCTTATTGACCCCTAATTATTTTCAAATTGCTATTATTAGTGGGGTCAGACAACAGAACAAACCATTACATATTACACACATAAATATGGACTGTAAGGTCTCCCATCCCTGGAGATTCTGGCACAATTCCACACACTAAACTGCTGCGGACCAGAAACACTTGTGGGCTTTTGAACACGAATGCCTCTTTTTAAGTCCTGCCATAACATTTCGGATGGGTATAGGTCAGGACATTCTCAGACATTCTGATGGTGAATGGGTTGTATTTTTGGGATTCTCGTCTTGTTGCACGAGCCAGCTGTACTTCAGCTCCAGCTCACGGACAGACGGCCTGCTGTGCTATAAAAAGAATTTCCTTAGACAGTGTGGATTTCATAGCTCCTTCAATGACAAGTCATCCAGGCCCCGAGGCAACAAGACATCTCCAGATAATCACTCTACTGTCAGCTCTACAACTGACCGCTGATAGCATGGTCTTATCCTGCAATTCTGTTTTTGGTTTTCAGTAGAGCAGCCACTCTCAGTCCCTGCTGAGGTCTGCTTTAGGAATTTATTCTGCATTCACGGATCTACATCTTGCCTAAGACTTGATAATAAGTGATGGTATAAAATTTAGGACAGGGAATTGCCATAATTATTCATAATAATAATAATTCCCCGAAGATTTCAAAACAGCCTTAACTATCTCTTTATTATGTTTATCATATTCTAATACCTGATGACGGCACATTTCTTTGGTTCGCAGGATAACCAAGCAAACCGACAGGTTCAGGTTCCCAACACATCTACAACAAAAATGTCTGACAATATTCCAAAAAGATGCAAAAACAGAAATTCTTCATGAAGCAGCTTGATAGCTGAGGAATACTTCGGTGGAAGTCATACACTTAAAACTGAGATTAGCAGGAGCGTTAATGCCTGTTTATACCAGGCATTAAGCCATTTACTGGCAAAACAGGGGACCCTGCATAAAAGAACAGAGATTTGCTGCCCTCTTAATTAGTCACCGGCAAATTAAAATAAAGCCTAAAAATCGTCCCACCTTCTTGAGTGGCAGTAGATGTGCCAGGAAAGACGGCCAAAGTTCCCGTTATCCCAGGGGAGCGACTTACATGCATGGTCACACTGGCAGAACTTCTCACAGAAGTTCTGAGTCATCACACATGGGCAGGAGCTGTCACATGGGTGCTCAGGATGGTCACATGGCTGGTAGTTGTACACCTGATTGGAGGAGTTGTCTGACAGTCACGGGGATGAGGGGATGCCAGAAAGAAGACAAAAACACGGGAAACTGAATCTACTGCAACATATGCCGCAAAAAAATTGTGCATCATACAAATGCAGTTTATGTCAAACACACTGCATGCAGTTAAAAGAAAAAATATATAAAAAGGAAAAAAGAAACTTGAACAGACCTTTTTTGAGCTGAATCTTTGCCCACAACCTAAAAAAGTGGAGATTTTTTTTAGCTGAGGAAACACTAAATGAAACTGTAACATAAAATATGATGTACATTGGATTCATAGATACACAACAAACAATAAGACACAATAAGAACTGATACACAGTGTATAGACGGTATACAAACGGAAAGAATTCAAATTCACAATCAAAAGTTCCAGGAAATGCTTGGTAATACTGATTATTTTTCTTTTGTTTTCACAATATTAATTGAATTCTACAATGGTATAGATTGTCCTTTTAGTTATGCCATCCATATATACAGAATCATTCTATATTTCAATATTCTCAAAATGCCAGGCCAGCTGGATCACGTTTGCCGGGAAGCCACCAACACCGCAGTTAGTCGGCGGCTGCCGGAAGACCTGCCTGTGCTTCCGTTTCTTTTTCTGGGGGGAGATTCTGCCGTCTTCTACAGGTAGGCGATGGATCAGCACCTCCTTCACGGCAAAGTCGTAGACCTGGGGAACAAGAGCAGAGGAGCTTTGCTCAGAAAGACTGTTTTTGTTGTTTTTGTCGTCTGGATTTTTTCTTCTGCGCATCACTTGCAAATGTCTTTGTGTTTGTCTGCCACAGGTCACGTCTCCTATTGTCATTTAAAAAGGGGAAAAAAGAGAAATATTGGTGGCAATTCAACAAAGTGGCCGCAAGCTAGAGCCTCTGGGGCCGTTCTCATGTGAAGGATGAAGTGCGTTGGAGAACTATTCTATTCTATCCATCATCCAACCCACTTATCCTACTGGGTCGCGGGGGATCTGGAGCCTATCCCGGAAGCAATGGGCACAAGGCAGGGAACAACCCTGGACAGGGGACCAGTCCATCGCAGGGCACACTCACACACCCTTCACTCACACATGCACACCTAAGGGCAATTTAGTAACACCAATTAGCCTCAGCATGTTTTTGGACTGTGGGGGGAAACCAGAGGAAACCCCACGACGACACGGGGAGAACATGTGACCCAAGCGGAGACTCGAACCCTGGTCCCAGAGGTGTGAGGCAACAGTGCTAACCACTGCACCACCATGCCGCCCCTATTCTATTCTATTCTATTCTATTCTATTCTATTCTATCACATCACATCACATCACATCACATCACATCACAGCCTGTCACAAGGGTTAATCCAAAGGGTTCATCCAAAGGTAATGTCCATCCATCCATCCATCCATTTTCTGTAACCGCTTATCCTATTCAGGGTCTCGGGGGGGTCCAGTGCCTATCCCAGGAGCTATGGCCGCAAGGCAGGGAACAGCCCAGGACGGGGTGCCAACCCATCTCCTAAGATAAAGTGATGAGTAAATTTCAGATAAAACGTTAAAATTAATGCCTGAACATCTATTCAATATTCAGTTAAACTGTAGTACTGAATCATTTTTTACTATTAAATGATTAATTCTACTATTACTTTAATTCTACTCTAACTACCATTATTAATTTTTAATTTCCCCCCAGGGGTTAATAAAATGTATCCATTAGACAAAACATTAACATTTAATGAATGTAAGGAGCGTGCGGTAAATTTATCTTGACACAGAGAACTCTAGTGACCTTGTCATTAAAACACCTCAGCTGCAGAAACCGTGCACTCTGACACGCAGCGTAGGCGTCACGCGGCGCATGGAGCCTGACGACGCAGCTGTGCAGCCACTCGGCGCTCGCCAGCCCCGAATGTGAGCAGCATCCCCCCCCCCCCCGCAACTCAGCCGACATTCACAAGAGCAGCGTGGGAACAGGAAAGGCAGGAATCGCCACGCGGTGTCAGCCTAGCGCCAGTAGAGCAGAGCGTTATGTTCCATGCATGCTGAGAATAGATCTGGATTGCACCATTTTTTTTTTTTGCCGGGGGTGCGTGTCGTACAAGACAAATACCATTTACAGCGGCCCCCGTCAGAAAAACCACAGAGTTGAATTATGCAAAATAAGAAAAGAGTGATTCTCCATCACTTCATCTTCGTTCCTCCCCAGAGGCTCGTCATTCATGAGGTTCTCAATATTCCACCTTCAGGTGCTGAACAGGAGAACTCAAAGGCTTCTGAGGCTACAAGGGCACGACCAGGATCTCACTGATGTACAGCTGACATTAATAAAGATTCATTAAATATTAACTAATCTTCCTGGATCCAGTGGCAGTGGGCAGGGTTTGATGGCACTCAGCAGCGAATCTAGGATGTGACCCTAAGGGCGGCTCAGTCCCCAGTAGGGTCGCCACTTTCAATCACTATAAAATCTTGATGAAATGTATATGTAATAAGGGGCAGATTTCAAATAGATTTACAAAAATTCAGAGGGACTGAGAGTGGCTGCAGTTCCCCTGAAAAGGGTCTGGAATCGTCTACGGTGGAACGTAAACATTTTCGCTATTAGCCAACTGGGCTATTTCGGTAAAAAAATGCAGTTGGACATGCTGGCTACTGATCACTTTACTATACTTGGCCTCATTCTAAATTACTTGCCTCAGGTGAGTGAAGCTTAATTTCCAGCCCTGCCTGCGTCCTTGAAGTTCCTCTGGCACACAGGCAGGCTGCTGCTTTGACATCTAAATACTCACCAGTTAGAAAGCTTAGGGTGCCTGTGTGAGTGAGTGAGTGAATGGTGTGTGAGTGAGTGAATGATGTGTGAGTGAATGGTGTGTGAGTGAGTGAATGGTGTGTGAGTGAGTGAATGATGTGTGAGTGAATGGTGTGTGAGTGAGTGAGTGAATGGTGTGTGAGTGAGTGAGTGAGTGTGTGAGTGAGTGAGTGAATGGTGTGTGAGTGAGTGAGTGAGTGAGTGAGTGTGTGAGTGAGTGAGTGTGTGAGTGAATGGTGTGTGAATGAGTGAGTGAGTGGATGGTGTGTGAGTGTGTGAGTGAGTGAGTGTGTGAGTGAGTGAGTGAATGGTGTGTGAGTGAGTGGATGGTGTGTGAGTGAGTGAGTGAGTGAATGGTGTGTGAGTGAGTGAGTGAGTGAGTGTGTGAGTGAGTGAATGGTGTGTGAGTGAGTGAGTGGATGGTGTGTGAGTGAGTGAGTGAGTGAGTGAGTGAATGGTGTGTGAGTGAGTGAGTGAGTGAGTGAGTGAATGGTGTGTGAGTGAGTGAGTGAGTGAGTGAGTGAGTGAATGGTGTGTGAGTGAGTGAGTGAGTGAGTGTGTGAGTGAGTGAGTGAATGGTGAGTGAGTGAGTGAGTGGATGGTGTGTGAGTGAATGGTGTGTGAGTGAGTGAGTTAATGGTGTGTGAGTGAGTGAGTGGTGTGTGAGTGAGTGAGTGAGTGAGTGTGTGAGTGAGTGAATGGTGAGTGAGTGAGTGAGTGGATGGTGTGTGAGTGAGTGAGTTAATGGTGTGTGAGTGAGTGATGGTGAGTGAATGGTGTGTGAGTGAGTGATGGTGAGTGAATGGTGTGTGAGTGAGTGATGGTGAGTGAATGGTGTGTGAGTGAGTGAGTGAGTTAATGGTGTGTGAGTGAGTGATGGTGAGTGAATGGTGAGTGAGTGAATGGTGTGTGAGTGAGTGAGTTAATGGTGTGTGAGTGAGTGATGGTGAGTGAATGGTGAGTGAGTGTGCCCTGTGATGGGTCGGCGTCCCTCCCTGGGTTGTTCCCCTGCTTTGCACCCGTAGCCTCTGGGATAGACTCTGGACCCACAGTGATCATGAATAGGATAAGTGGTTACAGAAAATTGTAGGTGGAGGGGATTCTTAGGTGCTGAATTATACGTATGAGCTACCTGCTTTGCATTGGTGGAACTGAATGGTAAATGTGACCTTGTACTGGATGGTCAGCAGTGAAGCATAAACAGACTAATGAATGAATTAAATGTATATGAATGTGAAACCACATGAACATACAGGTGTATTTTATATTTAATAAATAAATTTATATACCTATACACACACACACACACACACACATTCTTTCATAAACAGCATGCAGTTTAATTTGCTGGATAAATAAAACGATTAATAAAAGTAAACCAAATATGTGAAAAAGAAGCAATCTGCCCTCTTAAAAATCTTTTTTTTCTGACGCTCACACCCACTGGTGTAGAATCCGTGCAAGGGCACTCTCCGTGGGAACCTACCTGTTTGCAGGTCTTTGTGCCGATGAGACGTGCGATTGAGCAGAAGTTGTTGAAGTAAGTCCCATGCAGCACCCGGAAGAGTGATTCCTCTGCTCCACTCCAGCCTGACCCCAGATCTGCCTCCCCCACTGGCTCCTCCCTTGACTCCTCCTTCGGCTCCTCCCCATGCTCCTCCCCCACATCCCCAGCCAGCTGCATCCTGGAGGGCGTTTGGCACCGCGAGTTCTCCTCTGCGATAAACAGCCACAGCCAGCATGAGTGTCCCTCTGAATAATCACAGACTGAAACAACAACTTACGAGGTCTAAATTGAAGAGCGAATCGCCAAAACTCACTCAGTCCACAAGACAGGTTTTGAGAAAATCGCTGTGTATTCAGTGAGTTCTAGAAATCTTAAGAAAGTTCTTTGTTGAACTACGTGAGGACTGAGTGAAGTTTTGGTTCCCAGTACTGTAACATAGGACGAGGAAGGCAGACTTTAGGACACTGGCGGTCTCATCTCAGAAACAACAACAAATTTGCTCTTCAGTTACTTGACATGGATTAAGGTTCTTATATATGCCATTTGCCACGACAATGTCAATGGCTTTCTGGATCTTCCTTATCAAGGTGGAGCCAGCAGAATGGAGGACCTACCTGAAGAGCTGGTGGTCTCATGGTCACTTTCGGTCTCCTTCCCTTCCCCGGCAGAAACAGATGGGCCAGGACAGCTGGAGCTGGCTGGCCGGGTCTGTTTGCGTCGACGCCGTGATCGCTGGGACTTTAGCATGTTCTGATCTACAAACTCTCTTGCCCCTTTCTTTGGATGGGACAAGAAGGGAGAAGCTGGGGAATTTGCGAGTGATGAACCCAACCTCCACTCCACAAGCACGCGGATTAGCCATGAGGAGGGTTTCCTGTGATACCCTGAGCTCCTCCCCATACAATTCAGTCCAATTAATTAGCGCTGGCCAAATGAAGGTTCATGAACAACTTGCTGTTTTTTTCTGACTCCACTAGATGGTGTTCTCTGTTCAAGAAAAGAGCTCAAAGCCTACCCCAAAGCAAGCCAAGAGCGCCATCTAGTGGGTCAAAAAAATATAGCAAATGGTTCATTACGTTTCATTTGGATATCACTACTATCAATCCTCCTACATTGTCTCCACACTCAACAAAAGACTGACACAATTTGGAACATGCTGGCAGCCACAGATAGAACACCAGCTATGTTCTCCAGCTCTCACCTGCAGTAAAAAGCAGTGCGCGCCACAGGGCTCCGTCTCAATGTGCATCTCCTTGCTCTTCCTCCGGTACATGTTCGGGGTTGCATGGAAAGCTGGACAGAAGGACGGAGTGGTTAGTGCGGCCTGCGAGAACATGGGACAGTGTCTTGCTTAGGTAGATGCCATGCCATTGAACAATGACAGCAAAGGGACAATAGTTTGCTCTGAGGAAACGGGAAAGACCAGCGGACAGACAAAGTGTCTCGGAAACGGACGGGGGAGGATTACGGTGGAGGAAGCAGTCGTATTTGAAGCAGCGCCTGCAGAACAGGGTGTGGAAGGAGTGGAGGGACTGCTCCCGCTGCACTGACTTGGCGAAGGGTCCGTCCATATTGGGGGTGCACAGAGGAGGTAGCTTAACTGGACTGGGGGGTTCCAGGAGGTCCTTGTATCTGCAGATGGGTGGGGTTTTGAACAGCGACATATCAATGAAAAAGCATCCCGTCATCCATGGATTAGAGCTAATAACCATGGGGAGGATATTTTTTTCGACCAATGAGCTTTGGTCTCCTTCCAACGATCCATCGGCTTTTATTAACAGCTTAGACAGCAAAGGTCGCAGTGATCTAAAGTCATTTGGCATAAGGGTGCATCTGGGATGGAAGCCAATAAATCAAAAGGCACATACACATGTATAAACGTGCTCAGAGCATCCAATTCCTGAGCAACAATCTCAAAAGTGAGCAGTTCACCTGGACTGGATCTCAATGGGGAGGCCAGGCTGTTAGCTCACACCACCAGCTTGGTGTCCTACAGCTACTTTTTGTGTGGAGTTTGTTTGTCCTCCCTGTGTGGTGTCGATTTCCGTCAGCTACTCCTGTTAACTCCCACAGCCCAAAGATGTAAATAAGTGCACCGTTGTCTCAAAATTGCCCATAGTGTACGAAAGTGTGTTTATGTTGACTGGTATCCCATCCAGGGTACACCCCCTGCCGTGTTCCATATAGATTCTAGGCCAGGGTTCTTCAACTCTGGACCTCGATTCCAAATCCTAGGCCGTGTTTTCAGTTCTCCCAGGTAGTTAGTTTAATAATTACTGATTCTGATTGGTCAGAGGCTTCACACCTGACTGACAGGTAAAGGAAGGCTGGAAGACCAGCAGTGCTCGGACCTCGAGGACCGTGAGTTGAATAACCCTGTTCTAGGCCCTCAAATACAGGCTCTATACTCGATAAGCAGCTGAAAGTGTATGGATGTGTGGAAATAATCCGACATAACCATATGAACCATATGTGTGGAAATAATCCGACATAACCATATGAACAACATGCAGGCTACCTCAATGCAAAACACGCCTCTAGAAGAAGTGTGATGCAAAAATGCTGTTCACTTCAGTACTGTACGGAGCTTTCATAGGCGTTTATTGAGATGAGATCATTGGAACACTTTACTTAGAGCTCTAGTCTATAATGGACTATAGATACCCTCACTAATCATCTGATTGGAGGCATTATATAGCCTCCAATCAGAATGCTTCAATCCATAAAAAAATAATATTAAAAGCCCCACAATATGACCACAACTGGCTCTCACTTACTGTCTCACGCTGTGCTCACACTTACTGTCTCACGCTGTGCTCACACTTACTGTCTCACGCTGTGCTCACACTTACTGTCTCACGCTGTGCTCACACTTACTTTTCTTTAAGCTCCTCGGTGGTGCCCTTGTATGGGAACATAGAAGCAATAGCCATGAATATCTTATCGTGAGGTAGTTTCTTACTGGAGGACGGATCTTTTGCTGCAAAGCCAGAAAAAAAGAGAAACTATGAGACTTCAAGGAATGGATACGAAAACACAGAAACCAGTTTCTTAAAAAGGAGGGAAAAGTTATGCTTCTATTCAGAGTGAACCTGATAGGTACGAAAAACATATGGCGCTTGCTGTACAAGAGACAACACAACCCTTCTCTGTGTTTTCCCATCCTACGCAGAACCGTATGGGTCACGTCTCCCAAAAAAATACCACACCCAACATGGGTTGAACCAGAATGGCCAAGAGGCTCAGGTGTTCACCTCGCCTAACCTTCTGGGTCCCGAGACGTCCAAGTAAGCGTTATGGATGTTGGCATGGTGTCAGAGCTCTAATACATCTGCATTCTTTCTACCGATCAGCCTGCCTGCGCTAGTCTGGGCAGGGAGATCGCACCGCTATCACAGAGATAGCCTGCCAGATGGGCCACTGAACAGCAAACGTTAGGGCCAGACAAAGGACAAAGACCCAGAGTCAAATCTATTAAATTCCCGTAACCTTACAAGCGTGCATGCACCGTGAAAGGGAACTATGACATTTCTGCTGATCTTGGCACTGTCCGGCACGCCGCGAGGACTCTAAAGCGTCATCCCACAGCTCTTCCCACAAATCCCTGGCTGCCTCGGGCTTGCAGAGGCCACTACTGCCAGAAATATGAGCGGGTGTGTTGTGTCATGAGCAAACAAGTTTCCAGGCTGGACCGGACCGGGACTGGGCAGTGCGGTGGGAGGGAAACCAAGGCACTCAAATCGCACTGCAACGTGGCACATGCGGCCCCATCTGGCACTGGCAGGAAGTTCCACTGGAATTAATCTGCGTCACTGTATACTTCGGGTCAAGGGAACAGTGGGAGTGACCTCTAAGTCCACCTATACTTTGAACTCTAAACAATAAATAACCAAACAACTTCAAGGACTTTTCCTTTTTGTGAAATCAGTTCTGCTGGGTCAGGGATGAGTCTGTGCTCATCATATTTAATGCTTTCACACTAAGAACAAGACTCTACCATAGAAGACCTAAGGTTCAGCTTCTGGTTCTGCTAGCTCTGGGATCTCCTACCATCTGCCAGGCCTCGCTTCTTCTTCCTGACAGGGCCCAGTGGTTCTGCCTTGGTGTCCTCCACCCCGTTGCCGACACTCCTCCTCACCACCTTGGCTTCCTCCACCTTCGGCTCAGTGCTTTCCTGTCCCTCCTCCTCGTCCTCCTCCCGGTCCGAGTATTGGCTCAGAGCCTCCACTAGCTCCTTGAAGACTTCGTCGTTGATGAAGCCACCCTCTGGGACATAATGCAAACACCACAGCGAGCTGACTGACCGCGACACTCAACATACCGCTGGTAAAGAAAGCCAGGACCAGCTCTTGGCAGACCTGCACAACATCCATCCGTCCTCCCAATACACTAAAACTGCTGCTAAAGCCTCTCAATACCTTACCAGGGGAAATTCTGACACCCTCGGCAACTATTTCCACACAAAGCAGGCAATATTCCTACAGATGGTGAGCTCATTCTGGCTGCTACCCAAAATCATAAAGAACAATATTCTGAGCCAACATGTCTGCCCTCAAACGACTGGGACTACCCTGGATGCTAAACAACGGATGCTAAATCCTCTTCACTCCCACCTCGGTCCCCGTGCACGCCATCATAGTTGTCGATGAGTTCCTCCAGAAAGGCCTCATCCTGCTCCAGAACCTCATCCCCCATGTAGGGAATATTGTGCAAGAATGTCTCATCCTCCACCTGTGAGAGAAACAATGGTGACAGTTTTACTACTTGTATGAAACAAGGGCAAACTCTTCACAGAAATTTAATCCAGGGTCCCTACCTTCAAATGGAACCTCAAGATTTATTAAGATGTTATTATTGTGCTGATCGACCTGTATTAACTATAGAATTTGACCAACATTTGACCAATGTCCACAAGCTCATTCTCTAATAAAGTTGTTCTCTATGAGGATAATGCTAATGAAACAGCATAATGAGCTAATTGTTTTGTTGACCGCTGCTGTGTAGGGCTGCGTATTGGCAAGAATCTGACAATACAATGCATATCATGACACAGGGGTTACGATTCTAAGTTAGTAAAGCTAATCTTGATAATGCTAATGTTAACAGTGCGCTCTTACTAGTAACATTGTTACGATGGAGTGGAAAAGTCAAAGGGCTGTTGGTTATAACACTGCCACCTAGTGGTTGGGGGTCAAAATGCAACACAAAATGAACCACTGTTACAAATCTTTGCACGTAAACAATTAATTAAAAATCGATACATTGCTTGCATCGAGAGTCGATGCAGTATCACAAAACGATATATCGCAATACTCAAATGTAGTGATATTATCTCACACCGCTGATGTAACGCACCATGAAATTCTGCTGCAGAGGGGACCAGGAGTACATGAAGGGGATACCAGCCACAGTGCTGAGGGTCTTCATCACGGTGGTCTGGTTCTGGAAGGTAGGGAAACCAAACTCCACCACGCACTACAGTACGGGATGGAAGGGGGGGGGGGGGGGGTAGGATTGACAAGCACTTTCTATGAAGGCGGAAAAACAAAAACAACAGGCAAAACACAGGCTGGAAAATAATTCTGCTAATGCAGGTGAGAGAAATGGGGGGGGGCTATCACTTAACACATTACCATCACATCTTAGAAGATGGACGTCAGACTGCATCATTCCTAACAACAAAGCTATTACACTGTATTTTCTAGAAGGGCAGCTGACACATCACTCCAGGAAATATTCAGCCGACACATCACTCCAGGAAACATTCAGCCGACACATCACTCCAGGAAACATTCAGCCGACACATCACTCCAGGAAATATTCAGCCGACACATCACTCCAGGAAGTATTCAGCCGACACATCACTCCAGGAAGTATTCAGCCGACACATCACTCCAGGAAGTACATCACGCTCATGCCGTTTCTGTGCTTGGGAGGAAACCAGCAGCAAATACAGGATGAGCCACTAAGGGAACCAGGTCGCTTGGGCTCTACCTTCTTGCTGTGAAGGGATCCGACGGAGGGGGAAGAGAACGGGATAGACTGCACCCGGAGCGTGGACCACTCCTTGTTCAGAAGGTCTGTCCTTCCATTGATCTTCTTTCGGTTGGACATAAAGAGCGACTTGGAGGAGAGATGTAGGTATTAGAGTAGACCAGCTCCCCGCTAGCCCCCGCTATTTATTTATTGTACACTTCATTTCTAATTTTTTACTTTTAATTTCTAATTTTTATTTTGTAATTTAAGTATATGACTGAGTAATTTTTGTGTCTTTGTCTTTCTATTTACTGCTATAATGCCCAAATTTCCCTCCTGGGAATAATCAATCAATCAATCTGTCTGTCCTTTAACTATTTCTTAAATATGTGCCATAGCTGTGCATGTTTTTTCCCAAGCAATATTTAAGGACAATGTTTTATTTCACAAATGCATAAGGGACTAGCATCCCATCAGACCCTTACCTTGACTTCCTCCGCTTTGCGGAAACGCTTCAACTGCTGGAGACGCATGTATTCTGACTTAACCCTTTTCCTCCATTCCATCAGGCTTCGGACCGGCCTACTGGGCTGGGCCGCCGGGGTCTCCTCCATGGCCCTGTACCACACCACAGTGAAAACTAGCTGTGGTTTAATCCGTGGATGCATCTTTTACACCAAGGATGAATGCAGGGATTCACCAACACGTTTCTGAAAAGGGAACCTGACTTTGAAGACTTATAAATAACGCTACTGTGCAGAGCTGACAAACTTTTCCGTAAACCCAGCGGCATTATTTACATTAAAGCTGATTTCTTTTCCGAATTAATGCTGTTCCTACAGATGCCACATGCAGTCACATAACGTCATTTTTTCTACGTCACTTATTCAACGCTTTTGCGACTGACCGCCCCCTGCTGCTTGAAAAGCGGCATCGTGTCCCTGCATTTTAATGGGTCCTTTAAAAAAAAAAAGAAAAAGAAAAACAACAGTACAGCAACATCCTGGTCAGCCGAGAACATGTCACACGCATGCGATCGGGAGACATTCCACCCAGAAGGCAATCGAGCGATGTAAAAAAATAAATAATTTGGTGGTGAAAAACCACCAATTTCCCCAGTGCATTACAATGCCCGTTCAAATGGCAGATCGGGGTAACCAAGTTGGAAAAACACGTTTTGTTCACAACGTTGTGCAGTGGAAGTGGGCGTGTCTCTTCGCTCAGCTATAGGAAATCATTACACAGAAGTGCGTAGCACACTTTTACAGATGACTTAGCCCATATAACACATTGTCCTATTCCAAATAAGCACACATACTCCTCAAGGTTAAACATGCGAAAAATGACGGCGACTCGTAAAGGGCAGATTTAGGCAAATACGGACGGCTTATGCAATGTATCGGGAGACTTACCGTCACTTGGACTATTTGAAGAAGGCTAGAGAAAACGTAAAGCACCGATTCTAAGCAAATCAGACACACGATCCTACGGTTTAAAATAGCACTTCGGGTCCTTTTTCTCTTATAAAATCAAATGTGATGCAGGATCCCCATGCGAGTCGAAATTTGACACATCGTGTCGCAGTTGCAAATACATGGAAAACAGCCGAGTCCTGCCTCCTTAACCAGCAGCTACTGCTGCCGCGGAGACGCGTCGGGAAAAAATGCGCTTCAGCGGCACTGAGAAGCGGGATCGATCACTCGGCTACGGGCTCGGAGGAAGCATTCGGGCCGCCGAAGCTGGGGACGGCCGGGAGCGCGGTGCTGGCCGCCAGCACGCCGAGATCGTGGCCGTGCAGCTCGGAGGGTAGCTGCGCACTTTGCTCGCTCGGCCGGAGGAGTGGTGACGTCTTCATCGCGATCACACGCCGCGGCTGGTATAAGGGCTAAAACGTGCGTGTCTATCAAAGATACACAAAACACTGGGCGGTGGTAAAAAGCCCCAATACGGAATAAAATCGCTTTAGCACCGTTACCCGTCACTGATTCGCATTCATATTCGCACGCCGGCCAGCCGCGGATTCGTGAGCCGAATTAATGCTGATATATAGTCAATAGCAGCCGTGTAAAAAGATCTTAAATGACTTAAAGAACTTAAATGGCTTCAGACTGGGTGGTCAGTCTGTAGTAGTAAAGCAATAAACAGTCGCATAAGGTGTGGAGTGGGAATAAGCAATGAAAAGGTGCAATGCTGATTGCTGCGGAAGCTGGTAACAAGAAGACGGCAAATATTTAATTTTGGCAATATGCAGAATTACGAATTCGGAGTTATAGGCACTGTGAATATAACCATAGCCTGCAGGAATTTAAATACCACAAAGGGTGGTGCAACATAGTATTAACTAGGCAATTATAATCCGAAATGTATTTATTTGTTTTTTATTATTATTATTATTATTGCAATTGTCATTTAATAAATTGTACGACAGCTTTAACACTCATCTCAACCAGCTACCGATTATAATGTTAACTTTTTGGTATTTATTGCATTTCTGTAATGCCTTAATGGTCATTTTAATTTAATTGGTGAGGAATTTTTGTTGAAATTGTAAGCCACTATAAACGACCTATTTCTTTAAGCCGTAACTGTATACATTCTCTTCCTTCAAACACACTTCGTTGTTTTTACTTGGGCCGGTTGCGTTGTCATTTCCAGCATTTACAGAGCGCAGATGTCACCGCCGTCCCCGATGTTTGTGCCGTTTTGGACCATATTCACACAACTTAGACTGTGCACTGTCGTTTTGTTTAGCCCAGAGATATGTAATACCCGTAACATCACAGACTCACAGCATATACATTAACTGGAGGAAAGTCGGTTTTATTGGCACCTTCGGGATTTATCGTGAAAGCAAACGGAACAACGTGCAAACAAATTGCGTTGTTCTCGAATGTAAACGGGCAAACAACACAATGAAAGCCATGCAATTGCTTTAAATATACATTTTTTTCTCAACCACACAGTGGAATCCCTTTATACTCGATACAGTCAGTTACCGGTGAGTAGCGGGGCGTGTGTCCCAACTGGGACCCCACACCCGAAACATCCCAGCCATTTGTGACGTCCGGGGCAAAGTTAACTTTCCTGCCAAGTTAGCGCCCTAGGCGCCCGCCTGTGTCCCCTATGGGATTGACCGGGTCGGTTTACAATCATATTTTAAAAAAAAAACCAATGTAAACATATGACAGATTTTTGCTGTAATTTTGTACCATAACTTTGAATTTGGTTAAGTTTTGTACCTGTGGTAAGGGTTGTATAGCCTGTAGGCCTATTAGAAGTTTTCAAAAATACCGTTACTAATTTTTCAAGTTTGCATTATTATTATTACAAACGTTTTGAAAACAGTGCTTAGTTTTTGGAATTGTGTTCACTGTTTTCAACTCGGGATTTCGGAAATGGAAAATAGCAGCTGAACAAAAGGGGGCGCTAGAGTCCACACCACATTTTTGTTTCTAATATAAATCTTTTTTATAAGTTAAATTCCTTCGTGCTTTACAGCGGAGTATTGCAAATAAAAATAAAACAGGTACAATTTAGTCACGTTTTGAAGGGTCTAAATAACAAAGATTATAATGCATTTAATTAGCAAAATCTATAATAATTCCAGTAAGCTTAAAGTTTGCTGAAACTTGTCTGATTTTCCCCCCTGAGGAATGAACAGGCCGTTGTTTAATATTTGTACAGCTGTACTGTTTACATGAAACATGACTTCAGCAGCTTTCTCAACAACACATGTACTTCAAAAGAATAGATCCTTATTGATAAAAAAAATAAATTTAATTATAATAGTAAAAGTGCAATTAGAATTGTAATAGCAACAGGTGTCCATGGAAGAACATTATGATATAGACCTGAGTCACACAATAATTATATGATTTCATACGTAATTTGCGGGGTCATTTAATAGGTCTAACTGGCGATTGCGGATATGTTTGTTGAAACTTCACTGTTTAAGTATCTGTCAATGGATAGTGATCGATAGCGGTAACATTTGCATTTGAGACAATCGGATCCCAGGCCGGAAAGCTATTGTAGAGTAGGAAACTTTCTGAAAATGTTTCTAAAATGTCTAACCCTTTAATTATCCGCTTTGGATGTTTAAACAAATCATACAAACATCTTCTGTGTAGCAGCGGAGATGTGACATGACTGCTGTGGTGTATTACAATATATTGTATTTCAATTAGGAACAGATACTCCAATTGTATTATATTCTGTCGATTTCACGTTAGGTATCGTTAAGTAGAGGTGTTATATTCTCCTTGGGTTTTGCCATTTCATAGTGTTTATCGTTTACCATTACATGCGTTCACTGGCTCTCTTAGAATTACGTGATAACTGAGCTGGCTGACCAGCTCAGCAGACCAATATAGCTAGTTTACTTCTACAAGAATGCATGTTAAAGTAAAACTAGTTTGAAAGTCTGATGGAAATCCAAGGGCATCTTACGTGAACATTTTAAAACATGAACACACGAAATAACAATAATGCAGGAAACAAGAACTTAAGCCATTAAATATTTATGGATGAATTTTTCAAATACGCAAGAAATCCGAATCGCCTAAGATTGCCTGCTTCCTTGTATATAATCAATGTCATTTCCTATGAAGAACGCTACAGAGAAAAAGGTGGTCGACGTGACTGATGCGCGGATTGTGGTAAACATGTTTGTATTCAGCAGCTTCCCCCAGGGCTGACTGGTGAAACTAAATGTGGAAGCAATTTGATCAACAGAATAACTTTGGCTGTTGGAGGCTGAGACGTACCGCTTCCATCATGCTCTCTCTTTACGGGAAAGCCGGCTGGCCTTCGTTGGCGTCAGGATACTGTGTGCGTCATTTGCTGGGAAGGCCAATTCTGCAGAACGCCGCAGAGGGGAAAGACTTGTCATCAGGAAATCGTGCTACACAAAGGTTTTTTTTTTCTTTTTTGTCAAATGCTAGTCGTGCGGTCTGCTTTCTGTTATGTTACAGTTGTCTTTGCCCCTCCCTGCCAGCTACAAAACGTCTCAGACTCAATATATCAGGCATACATTGTTAAAGAACTCTTCCTGCTTCATTCGTGCAATATAAAATTCAAGATTAAGTTAAATCTTAGGAAATAATACGAAGTCTAACACAAAACCCTTGTACAGTGACTGTGCACATTTTATTACGTGTATTATGCATGTTACATGTATAGTAAATTATGAATCTTTATCCAAGATACTAAGCTTTAAAGTTTGCCAAGTTCAAGGTCATAAGGCCACACATTAGAACTTCAAAGGTTGTGACTGACTTATGTAGGGTGATCGCTGTCATAAGACCACTGACACCTATGCCTCCAGACCCTTTGAAGTGGAACTTTAAAGTACGTGTAGAATTACACTCAACATCAGTGTTTATATATATATATACACACAAAATATATATAATAATATATTTATATTATATCTGACAGGACAGTCTCGCTACGATTAATGTCAGAGGATGAAAAAGGGTATAAAGTGCACTTTTTAAAATTCAGATTTATAAAAAGGCCACTCTCACCCAGGAAGGGTGCGAGTGTAGAAGAGCAGAGAAACTGATCAGAGCATGGAGATCCTGAGGGATCTGGAGGTGGAGATGCTGCACAGATCAGCTCATATCGAATGGAGACAGATGAGTGGTTTGGGTAGTTTAAGGATAGTACTTGGATGGATCCCAAGGGGATGTTCCAGGTATATCCTACTGGATTGGGGCCTCGGGGGAAAATATCTTCCAGCTGGCTTAGAAGCGGCTTCGGAACAGAGAAATGTGCGAGTGTCTTATGCAAGATGAGAATTGGCTGTCTCTCTGTATGTGTCACGTCTGATGGGGGAGGCGCAACCCAGAGGCAACGTCAGGCTAAACTAACGAAGTGGAATACGGCAATCAGAAGACAAAGGATCACCAGGGTTCTAAAACGCAGAACCGGGAGGAATGACAAAACCGGAGCAGGGAGAACCGGAATTTGGCACGAAAGGGAGACTCTGGGAGCAGAAAACAGCAATAACAGCAACGATGACCGAGCTGGGGAACAGAGTGAGGGCGGGCACACACACACACTACTTACCACTGTTACCAGGGACTAACAAAGGCAGGTGTGGGTGATTGTAACGTTGGACTGAGAATAATTAGGTGGGATGGCCAGCACCCTCTACTGGTCAAACATGGACGTGGCGGAGGCAGATCGTGACAGTAGATACCAGAAAGTAAAAACTAAAATTGACCCAGGTTTGATTTAATGTCAGGATGCTTGATTTTGATAAAGACACAAGAAATATCAAATCATAATCTTTAACAGTTTTGGTATATACGTGTTGGGGTTCTCACTGACCTGGTCAATGGGGATCTCACTTTCATTTCCACAGCAGATTTAGCACCATTGCTTGTGGGATTTCCCTACAAAGATGGCAAGGGGGTGCAGTGGTTAGCATTGATTCCCCACACCCCGGGGTCCTGGGCTCAGATCTCTGCACGGGTTCTATGTGTGTGGAGTTTGCATGTTCTCCCTGTGTTGTCATGGGGTTTCCTCCAGGTACTCTGGTTCCCACAGTGCACAAACACGCTGATGTTGCCCTTCGGTGTATGTGTGTGAGTGTGTCCTGCAATGGGTTGGTGTCCCATCCTGGGCTGTTCCCTGCCTTGTACCCATACGTTCTAGGCTACCTGAGAACCTGAATCGGACAAAAGGTTACTGAAAATGGATGTCCTGAAAACCTTTTCGAGCTTTATTTTGGTATGTAGTTTAGCTGGGCTTTTTGTAGGCTTCTGTGAGAGAATGAGAGTAAAATTGACCAGTACTGCAGCTGAAGAATCATTGCGTTTCAATTTATAATTCCAGTGTGTTGTTTGGCAACAATGCACAGCTTGGAAAAAAAGGAAGAAATATCCTTGATCTTTGTAAAAAAAAAAATTATTTCAATGTCATGTGACATTTACGGTCAGAGAAATAATAAGCTGAATCTGAGGTGTTCTGGGCCCAGTTTTATCAGTTTCTTACCTGCCGGCACCTACTCTCAGAAAGATTCATCAATAGTCTGCTTACAAGGCAAGCAGGGGGCGCTAATGGTTCCACCAAAGAATTAAAACCAGTAAAAGGTGTAAATTTGAGAGTCCAGAATACAAAGGCAAATGAAATAACAAAGCGTTTTTCATAATGACCACAGTAGGGAAGAGCAGGTA